TATATAAGTACCTATAGCTAAAAGTAATTCTTCTATCCAAATTTGATAGTGATTCTGAGATCTGGAATCCCTGAAATTTAATGTTCTTGAGGTATTGATTTAGATGACAACCTTTGGTCAATATATATCAGGTGGGTTTTGATTGGAATTCAACCACAACCTTACTGGATCTTGACAAATGCCAGATTTTTTTATATTGCATCTAATTTCAAAGTATTGTTTCATAAATGATGGTTTTTCTTTTATTTACGTCTTTTTTACTTCTACTTCTAGAACTACTCGTTTTGTTACTTATCTTTAATAAATTTGAAACAATTACTTAAAATTTAAAACCTTAACTATTTAGATTAGTTTGAAATTTTTGGTTCAGATCCAGTTTTGAACGATAAAGACATTATTATAAATGAACGATAATAATATCATTAAATTGAAACAATAACATAATTTTTGAATTGGAATGATAAAATCATTATTCCAATAAAATAATATACCCGCATGTGAATTTTAGTAATAAATTACCAGTCATTTTTAATCTAGATTTATTTATATCGGTGTATGAAAACATTCATTATATGAGATTTTATTAACCTTTGATCATTTTTTAATATTTGTTTACTTTTATTAAAATTTGTTTTTTTTATTAGCATTAATTTAATAAGATAGTTTTTTAAAATTACTAATTTTTTAATGAAGCAAATATAAAAAAATTCGTAATAATATCTGAGATAAATGAGTCAGCTATCTGGATAGTTTATTATCCGAATAAATTAACTGGATATCCGGATTTGAGCGGATATAGGGTTCATCGGATATCCGGATGGAAAGATCCAAACTCTATCTCGGATCTTCCAGATACTCTTAGAAATGCATTCAACTTAATTTCCTGTAAAAAAATATCAGTAATCCCACTAACTATGCGTTCCTTAATATGATCATCTTCAATCCATTACTATCTCTTGAAGGTTTCACACTCGTCATCACTTTCGTCGGATTCATCATGCTCATCGAATTCATCGCTCGTGTACTTCGTAAGTGTTAGAAAGTCAGTTTGAGTCGAAAAATGAAAGAAAAAAACATATAACCAAAATGACTTTACTGTATTTATGATACCGACACTATCATCATTAGTTCCGGATGACGTACATGACTTATCATCAGTCTTAGCGAGTGCCCGTCTCTTTGATCTTGGTTCACCTTCCGGATTATCATCCATTGGGCTATTTGAACAAGGCGTAGCGTAAACACTTCGATCTTCGTTATAATCAACAATATATACTTCTGATGTCACAATTAAGGCAATGAGGAGACCCATCTCGCTTATAATCTACAAATAATGAAAGCAAGATAAAGTATGTAGTCCCGAAATTATTTGTTATGAATAGTGATAACCGAACAATCACCTTATGTGAATACCATACATCGCCCTTCTCGTTGTCCGTTTCGTTGAAAATGTCATGTTCTACTTCCCTATACAAATTGGATGATTGTCGTTCGGAAGGACTCTGAATGAAGTTTTTTGATCTCGTTATTTAAATCCTACATAAATATAAGGGATAACGTTAAAATAAATTTGCAGTTAAAAATTAGCCATTTCTGCTGATCATCACGATTTCTAGATAAAAAATGCACTCATGTTCCTTCTTTCTTTCAAAATGAACATATTATTAGTTCCGCCATTGATCATCCCGCCGTAAATTGTCCCACCACAGATAGATCCACTTTATAAAATTGTTGGATTTTGAAAGTAAATCGAAGACACGTCACTCATTTTTGTTTTCTCCAACTTTTTGGTCAATACCCTATAATGAAAGATTAGGAATTAGTTCTCAACTGACATACATTTTTACAATTTATCATCTAACAAATTTTCTCATCCTATCAGGTCGGCAAAAAGACTTGAACAAAGGTGAGCGAGAAGAGTCCCCTGTGCCCCGGCATTGGTTTTGTAGCTCAACGAAAAGTTTTGAATGGCAAGAAGCGAAAAGAATTCCGGCCACGCTACTTATTTCCTATTCACACTTTAATAAAAAAAAATTACTTGCCGTTTCATACGCGTCAAGGAATTTGCGCGCTCTTGCTTTTCTTTCTCCTTCAAGTTCAGACAATAATGTTTCGAAGGGATTTAAGATATGAATCTATTTCCTTACTGAACGCATCCTCTTTACATTCCTTTAAAATTCGGTAATGGTCCACTCGGAAGATTTTCGATTAAAAATTTCATGTACGAACATGGTATATAATCCGAATGTAAGGGTAGATCACATGTCTAATTCGGTTGGACAAGATTTTATGATCGCTGAGATAATTAATTATTAACATTGTCAAAGACTTTATTGTAAAAAAACACTTTTATTTTTCTTGATCTAGGCTTGCTCAAAGAACGAAAATAATCAAAAAAAAAATAAGTCATGTATTTTCTACTCTGATCGCGAGAATACACGTTTTAAAAACTTTGATAACACAAAACAAAAAATAAAAAGTTTATTTTTCAAATAAAATGAACTGGTTTTGTTCGTCTTTATTATAATACAATACTTATCATAACGCTTTATTAAATATGAATACATATACAATTTACATATATCAAAACAAAAACACGAAAACTAGTAATTTTTTATTTGTTTACCCGACCTTCCTAAAACAAATATATGCACACGCAAACTAAATAAAAGGGAAGAAAGATATCCTTACCGTAAACCTACAAAAAATTGCGGGGCCCTTAAAACCTAAACTGAAAATCGAAAGAAACGCGGACGGACGGATAACCGACTAAAAATATATAACAAAAAGTTAAAATAAGGAAGAAGGGTAGTAGAGGTTAGAGTAAAACAAATATATGCAAAATAAAAGGGAAGAAAGATATCCTTACCGTAAACCTACAAAAAATTGCGGGACCCTTAAAACCTAAACCGAAAATCGAAGAAACGCGGACGGACGGACGGATAACCGACTAAAAAGATATGACAAAAAGTTAAAATAAGGAAGAAGGGTAGTAGAGGGTAGAGTAAAACAAATATATGCAAAATAAAGGGAGAAAGATATCCTTACCGTAAACCTACAAAAAATTGCGGGGCCCTTAAAACCTAAACCGAAAATCGAAGAAACGCGGACTGACGGACGGACGGATAACCGACTAAAAAGATATAACGAAAATAGGAAGAAGGGTAAGAGAAAAGAAAAAATTTTGTTAAAAGAAAATGTCATATAATAGAACTATTAAAAAAACGATTTTGAAGTTTTTATGTGCATATATTTGTCGGGAAGTTGCAGAAGAGAAAAAAAAAATAAACGAAATAAAAAGTATAATCCTTATATATCCGCGATAAAATATTTTGGGGTACAGAAATTTTGGGGTATGAATATGGAGCATCCTTAACCTAGGGTGGGGGTGTACTATAAGATTTGATGAGTTTTATTGGCCTGATTTGTTTGTGTTATATATATCTTAGAATTTTCGCGATGTTTTCAAAGAAAAATATAACGAAGAAATACTCAACTTAAACAAATTTTGCAGTATTTAGTACGGAGATTTAAAAGAAAAGCGAAGAAAATATTTCTCGCAACTTTTATTTTTCATTTAGAAGATTTATTATTAAATAAAACATGATTTATTCTTTTTGTTAAAAATGATTATTTATTGAGCAAAAACAAACTTGTTAAATACATAATTTACATATTACTATATCTTTTACTAATAGAATATAACAGCCATATAAGCTTCTATAACTATAAAGCAATTGCCATAGCAATAATCAATACAGTATTTTAATATTTATTTATTCATACATTTTTATTATAAGTTTTCAATAAAAAATATTTTAGCGTAATCGCTAACACGTGATATTTCGTGAAAAATGCTATTTTTACTATTACATTTTAATTTGAAATTGCCTAAATTCATAAGAATTATTCATTGAGTTAAATTCACAAAATGAATTCACAAATATTTACGTGATAACTGATATTTTTAAAGCACATTGACCTTAACATTTTCTAAAAAAACAAACATCCTTATAATAATATTGTAAGCTTAAAAGTACATGTTATAAATAAATAATCTAAATTTTTACAAATAAAAAATAAAATTATCAAATGAAATTACTGATCTTTGTTTCAATTTTCCGAACCATATTCTCAATTAATCAAAAATTTTGCTCTACTCCTTTAATCTATTGAGAATTTTTAGCTTCTTTATGTTCCTTTAAAAAACCTAAGGCTTTTTCTGTTACATTAATAAGTTAGTTATTATTGTAATTCTTACAATAAAACTTATTTTATAAGGAATTTCAGATATACTTTCTTTTATAAATGGATAATTATTATTTCGTTAAATTTCGTGAAAAAATCTGCATTTATTACCCTTTTAACTGAATCAAATCATAAACTGATTTGTTAAAAAATATGATTTTTCCGCCCATATAAGATTTGTTGAAATTTTTGTTCCTGAAGTGGTATTATTTTTAACAAATAAATAAGTAATAAGATCAAGACGAGAATGAAAGAGTTTATATAAAAATCCCATTTCAAAGCTTTTCAATGACCCTCAATAAGTATTATTATTTTGAGAATTGAAATATTTTCATGAGCTGATCGTGCCTATAATTTTCAATAATCATTATTGTACCATTTTTCCACAAATATACCATAAGACATATTAAAGAATGCTATTTACAAAAGTTATACAGCTATGCTCTCTTATTAAGTACTTGTTAAATATTTCTTAATTTTTTATATTAAAGAATATTGATGAAAATGTTTATCTATAATTTCCAGACATTTTACGCAATTCTTTTGGACAAAGTTTTTCTTATTTTATGTCTAGTGTTGACGCAAATGTGTTTCAAGGACCGCAATATTTACTGGCAATCCTACACTCTCCTTGGTTCATATAGGATACGATGCTCCATTAAAAAGAGGAATCACATGATATTATTCATAGTGTCTTTATTCCAATAAGGGGAAGGATGATCATTTCTTTTGAACTCGCATCTTTCCATTTTTTTCATTTTCAACAAATAATTCGGCATCCTTTTTACCTTTATCAACGTTTACAGTTAATATGATAAGGATAGGAAAGACCATGGAAAATAATACATACCAATAAGCATTTCTTAAATTATGAGTCAAATCCCCAATAATTCCCACCATCAAGGGACCTAACCAACTTGATCCCTAAATAAAGCAAAAAAAACCAGAGCAAAATTAGGTCTAATTCATCAATACTCTAAATTTGAACTTTTCCCAAATACCTTATCCGTAATTTCATATAAACTAAAAAATTCATTTTCATGACCTTTAGGTATCATACTACCAAAGAAAACTCTACAATAACTTTGTACCGCGCCAAGCAAACTACCGAAATAAATGGCGAATAACCAAATTTCCCACGAGTATTTAAAACCGAATGGTGCGATAAATCCCAACAATGCATACAATGGTACTAAAGAGTGTAATGATGCGGTTATTATAATCATCGTTTTTGTACTCAAATTAAAGTACAATTGTATCTTCAGGAAAACATAAGCCCCGATCATTGCACTAATAGGAATCACCATGGCTGCTATCAATAATTGCACTTGAGATAATCCAAGTTCCTTCTTTCCGAATAAGGTTGCAACTGTTGTGATGGTACCATATCCATCTGAGAGTATAAACCATGCGACTAAAAATTTAATCGTTTCCACAAGATGTCTTGCGGACCTTATAATGGTTCCTACTCTAATAAATGAATATGTAAAGTAACTTTGATTCCTTTACATCAAAAAGATTTTAAAAGGTTAACAAGTTTATAATAACAAAAAAATTAAATAAATACGATGATTCTTTACATTAATTTTATAACTTACTTTGGTAAAGGAGGACCAACCCGATTTTTCATCCACAAAACGGGAAAAGTTAAGAATGATACCCACCAAATCCCAACGATAACACAACCGATTCTTAAACTTAATATTTTGTCTTTCATGATTAAAGCAAATATGGAACCAATTGCTAATACAAGTACACCCGCGGGTATACACCATATCAAGGAAATAACTGATAATTGGTTGGAAATCTTTTCTTCAATTTTATAAATTTCTTCCTTGGTGGCATCATCTTTTTCATTATTATTTCGTTTAACTTGCATTACTTCTGGATGAATATGTGTGTACACAGGTATATATGCTAACCAAAATACCGTTGCCGCTCCAAAACAAACATTTCTTCGAAAATGAATTCAAGGAAGAAGGAAAGCATGAATATTGTGATTGAATTACCCTTGCAGAAATTAAAAGCGAAATCTACCAATTAACACTTACGATAAGATGGTCAGTAGTCCAGCTAACCAATACATATTAGGTTCAAGGACCAATATGTAAGCAATTGTAAATAGAGCTCCGGCATATGAGAATCCTATAAGCATTTTTTTTCTATTGTTTCCATAATCCGCTAACGATCCACTTCCAATGTATACAATACATTGTGCTAATACCGATATTGCAATTATATAAAACGAATAACTTGTTGAATCAACAAACCAAAATCCAAATTTTGTTACGCATTTATAATTCTCTACTTCCTAAAAATAGTTTATGTCAAGGAAACCTTTAAGGGAACAAAAAAAAGGGCCAAAAATAATGTCCAAAGGTGGAGAAACTAGACACTTACGATATCACATGGAACATCTCTATCATCCAATTTGAATCCTGCTTGACTTGAATAAGTTTCCAATATAATAGGAATGAACACTAAATCAAATAAAAATTAGGTTATATAAAATAAAATACATTCTCTCAAAGAATAATCTTACCTGACATTGCAGCAATAACATATGGTTCATTCTATTTTTAATAACTATTTATCATTAGAAAATAACTTTTTTTTTTTATCCATTTCGTTAAATCATTAACTTACCGCTGTAGATGCCAGATACCATCCTTTTAATTCTCTTGTAGAAACAACTTCTAAATCTTGATGATTATCGTCAATTCCCTTCTCTTCGTTTAACATATTCACTGAGTTATATAAATCGATGTCGTTTATATATGAATATCTATATATTTAACACTTATAATAACGAATTTTTATTAAAAAAGAAAAAAAATAATATTTTTTGATTTTTCAAAGTTTTATCTTATAACGGGAGAGGTGATTGTTTCAAATCATGTTGTGATTAGTTTATTCCAAATCAAGCGAAAAAGGAAGTTGATGAATGAAATGAATTTTATTATAGATGCGTTGTTTATTCGTTCTTTATATAAATTTTTTTCACCAAAAAAAAAAAAAAGATCTCGTATCCAATCCATTACTATTGCATCGAATTTTTCTCCGTTCTTAAAATCAATAAAAAGATTTATGGTTTGTATCACATGATTTTTGCACAAATAAAAACTAGAAATAAATTAGAAATTTTGATTATTGTCAATATAAAAGGAATAAATCTAGAAAATTTTTTTAAACTTTATTTTCAGGTTAACGACTATTTTAGCCAAGGTTCATTTTCCGATTTACATCATAAAACTGGTCAAAAAAAAAAGGTTCGGAAAACTTACTGTATTTTAATTACGATTTAAATTTATTACTTGTTTTGTAATAGCTCGAATTAGATGAACGTTTTAATTACACTAAATATACCAATAGAAAAAAATAAATCTTTTTTAAAGATTGAATTTAAGGAAAAGCATTATATCAAAAAAATAAAAAAAAATAAAAATTTATCCGTATTTGCCAAAATTAATCATATTAATCATATTCCAATACAATATTAAATTTGTTTTTATACATCCGGTGAGATTATAATACAAAAAAAAACTAATTTTACAAAAAAAAAAATTAAATTACAAACAAAAATTAAATGTTTTTAAAATATTCCCAAACATTGTTCGTATATAGAAGACTTTTAACATTATATTCCCGACAATTTTCATGAGCCTGTGGCATAATTATATTTCTTAATATATTCTTGTAATCTAGGCGATAGTACAGGTTTTGGTGGTTCCGTTATCTTAGCTGTTAGTCTACCTTCTTCCTCATTTTCTTCATTTTCTTTGTTTCCTTTCTTTTTCCTTTGATTAATGTAAAGTATTTCTTCAAGATTATCCTTGTCACTTAACGCTACAATTGGCTTAGCAATTGTATTGTTTATATAAGTTGTCGGAGATGCTAATACTTTCATGGGATCAATTGGGGGACTGGACGACATGCTTGTATTTACGTTTTCATCAGATTTGGTGGAAATAGGAACAGGTGTTGTAACTTGAACTGATGTTGGGGCAGATTTCTTCGTCGGCACAGCTGGCGGGATAGCAAGTTTGTAAGTCACTTGATTAGAGGAAACATTTTGATCATCATTTTGATTCTCCGATGCTTTTAACTCATTTTTAATCATTTCAGCAATTTTAGGATCATCTTTCGCAAGAGTATTAAGTTCCAATGGTTTACGTTGAACATTAAATCCTTTTTGTTTTGGTGGGCTAGTACTTGGAGAAACAGGTAAAGTTTTCTTAGGAAATACTACTGGAGCAGGAGCTGGAGCTGGAACTGAAGAAGGCGGTGAAGACATTCCGAAAGGTTTTTGTCCTAAAGCAGCAAAAATTGATGCCTTGGTTATTGGTATTGCAGGAAAATATGAAGATTTCTGTGGAATAGCTGAAGGTGTATCCGATTTTTCAGTCGAGATAGGTTTGGATGGTGTAGGTGGATCGTTATTTACTGAGCTGGTAAAAGTATTTTGAGGCGGTGAATGTGAAATATTATTAGATGGGTTTTCCTCTTCCTCTATAATCGGGCTACTGGTTGTTATTGTTTTCTGGGGAACGGAAGTTGGAACAGCAGGTAGACTGCGACGCATTCTCGTTTTAGGAACTGGATTTTCATCTGGGTTAGGGTTAATTGATGAATTGTCCGTCATATTATTGTTCGCTTCTGCCGCTGGTGTTGTCGGAGGAGGTGGAAGCTGTTTACGAGGTCTATTCTTTGGAATTTCGTTGGATGCGTTCTGTTCAATACTTTGTAGTTGACTTTGATCGTTAGACGCACCATATCCAATCAATGATGATCCCCATTTAAATAATGATGACAAATTTCCTCCCCCAGTGGCTGCGGCACTTGTATTAAAATTGTTCACAGGCGGTGTTTTAGGTCTTTCTTGTTCAAATCCGGGAACTTGAAGTAACTCCGAACTTTTCTCATCAGTAACCTCAATTTCTTTAGGTTTTGGTGTCGGTAGTGGACGACCTTTAGGAATATGATCATATGCGCCGTTTGATATAGATGATGATACTTCAAACGTATTGTCATGAATTGTAGGTATTGGAGACTTTTTTCTCATTAATAGAGTTAATCCTGAAGGACCTGAAGGTGAGGATACTAAACTATCATTTCGTTTAAATGAATCTGATGAAAAATCAGAATTTTGTATTGGAATATCAATTGGAGTGGTTCCTTGACCATTCGGAATATTTTTCCTAAACAATGGAGAATGTGAACGAGGTGAAGTGCCTGCAATTTCTTGGCTTTGATTAATATGTGCCCAAGGAGATTTTCCACCAGGTGTAGCAACAGGTTCTCCATCCGAAAAAGCTGGACTTGATCTTTCAGATTGATTATCATTATTATCAAGCCACTTTTGAACATTCTGTTCTGGCTCGGGTGGCGTATTAATAAACTCATATTCTGAAGTAGGTGGTGACAATTCCTGTGTTTCACTGCGTTTTCCATAACCTCCAAACCCCGAAGCTGCGCCAAAAGGGCGTTTTTGTATGGCTCCTTGTTCTTGCGTTGTAAAAGAAAGGTATCTTACACGTTCGATAGCTGGAATATACGCGTAAGGTGATGCGGGAGCTAACGGTGGTGATTTTGCAACAAGTTTTGATGGATTTGGTGGTGCCATTTGTTTTGGTCTTCCAAGCAAAGAAGTTGCAAAAGATCCAATTTTCTTTGGACTTGCCGAACCAAATATATATGATCCAGCCGAACTTTTCGTAGGTGAATAACGTCCACGACCATCATCCTCTGCATTTGACCAAGGAAGCACTCTATCACCATTCTTTGATGGAATATTTACTGGCGTTGACACAAAACCTAAAACTTCACCGTCTTCTTTTCTGATATCTTCAACAAAAAAATCTACATTTTCGTCCATCATATTATAATGATTTGGAAATACATTTAAATCTGCATCAGCTATAGGAGCCGGTTGTAAAGATGCAGAATGTGCAATATAAACAGGAAGGTGAACTGTAAGATCCTTTCTATAAAATACAAATGAAATAAATAAATAAAGTAATCTTCTGATTGTTTTAAAATTGTCATGTATTCATCTTTACATACGTGAAAGGTCCCAAGTATAAAGATATTACAATATAACACACAACTTCGAATAATGCCGTATTTCTTATGGTCTTTGCATTTTTCTAAATAAATATAAAATCTTTAATTTTCGAGGAAAATAAAAAAAAATAATAAATAAATAAAATTACAAAAAACCACACTTACAGGAACATTAATATGAATGGTCGTCGAACGATCCTCTCCACAATCAAATAAGTAATCCTTATTTTTAAACCATGCCTCAGCTATCGTATCTCCAACAATTTTAACCTCATCAATTTCTTTTTTGTTTTTATTAGCAAGAATTAAAAGTTTGTGCGTGATAGCAATCTTTAGTCCTTGAACCTAAAAAATAAATTGAATTCCATAGATTAAATGACGAACATTCTCTTTAGAAAAAAAAAAAATACCTAAACAAATTTTATTTACCCTTCTTTTAGTTTCATTTTTCACCCTAACTTGTACACTAACATTTCCACCACTTTGAAATAATGTCTCTGCCAATGTTCCTTCCAGTGTAACAGCACCCGTCCCGCCCATCCATAATTGTTTCATATTAACACCATCTACAGGTTTTTTGTAGATTGGATTATGTCCATCCCACGCCTCAACGACAAGGGCTTCTTTTGATCTTAATAGTGTATCTTCTTTATTATTGTTCTTAAATTGAACAACTCTTTATAACAAAATTTAAAAAAAAAATTTATTAGGATGATCACATTTTTTTTAAACCCTCTGAATGATGAGAATTACTTACCCAGTTACAATATATTTTAGACATGCCAGGTTTCCATATTCAACAGAACTTGGCGCATCAACAGGAATTTTAAAAGCAAATGGAAAAGTGGTCTTTCCTTTTCTCGCTGTCCAATAACCATTTTCTTTTGGACCATGCACCGCATTTGAAGGTGGTAAATTTTCATTTTGAAAAACTAATCTTGAAGATAAAAAAGATTGTGAAGCAGTGTACTCTTTTACAGATAATTCTTCATAAGCTGTTAGTTCTACCGAAATTTCTCCGAGTTTTAATGATCTTGCAGAAGAACTTGTTAATACTATTCTTCCAGTTAATAAACCACCTGCCGTATATATTGTAGAATCTAATAAAACGTGTAATTTTAATTTTGATATTTTTGATATGGCTGTGGTGGTGGGTTTAAAATTAATGTTTGCTTGTTCAGGTGGTAGTATAGTATTCGCTATTGCTGAAGAAGCTATAGTCGACGGAGGTCCCCCATTAATTGCGGATGGTACATAATCTTGATTTGTCGGAAATGATGAAACCGATACTGGACTAATACCAAATGGGTTTCGATCATCGGAGCCTCCACTTATAACGGACATCTTGGATAAAGCGTCTTTTCTTTACAACAAAAGATTAATATTTCTTTGTGCAAGAAAACAAACACTTTCGAGTCGAAATGAGGGAAACCCCTTAAAATTCTTCCTGATCACGAGTATAATTCTAAAATTAACGCAAGAAATTAATTTTCTTCGCCTTTTTATCATATTAAAGAAATTTGATTTCTACATGTAACTTACCTGTCAAAATCAAGATCAAAATCAAACGCGTATACGAATTGTGATAATATAAAGAAAAAAGAAAAGAGTAAAATGTTCGTTATAATAATAAATAGCTGACTAAGAAAAAAATAATAATTTCATAAAGGTATATATCAATATGTCCAATTATATATATATAAAAAAAATGGAAATGAACTCCTTAATTGTGTAACCCCCATGTTAAAGGGGATTCTATTTTATTTTTAGGAATGACCCTGCAACTTTATTCCTGTTTTTAACTCCGTATTTTTGGAATCGTAATTTATGTCATCTTTAATCTCCAGTGCATATGTTTCCTGCGGCATTAAAAAATCTTCCACGATTTATCAACAGTAACAGTAATATAAATAATAATAATAATAATAATAATAAAAAAAGCAATCTGATTGTTTAAAACATTTTTAAGATTTCTGATATAAATAAAAAATAAAAATCAACTGATATCATTTGTCAAGGCTTTTCTTAATAATAGACTATTCGATGAATTATATCAACCTTTTCCTGAAGATAAAAGTTCCCTACATGTTTTTTCTGGCATTTAATTCCTAACCCTTAATGTGAATTATTCGGATGGGATTTCTCAATATTTGCTGTACTGTTTAATGACAGTGGAAAGAGAGTTAATAATAAGCAGAATTGTTTATGCAATATAACAAAAACTAATTTCCTATTTTCAAAAGGTTTGTCCAGCCAAGAAATTCATCATCATTGAACCCCAATTAAATCATATGTGAAGATTGCTATGAAAATCAGGTGCTGAGAATTTTTTTAACAAATTTAAAAAATTCCCAGAACCTGATTTTCCTTTTTTGCCTCCTCTTAATTGATAATGCACTTTTTAGTTAGTTATTTCTTTGTTTCTTCCTTGCTAAGGTCATCGATTTTTATCACAAGCACTACGCGCTAAAATAGAATGCAATCGGACGTAATACTATTTCCTTCAAGAAAATCAAAAGTTGGCATATACTTACTTTCCAATCTTTTTAGGGACAATTCCTTCGCTATTGAAAAACTCACCAACGTATCTTCTTTCGTCGGAATTATCCTTTGCACCATCTTGAAGGTTTTTCAGATTCTCATTAACTATTTAGCTGATATTATCATAAATTATAAAAGTCGGTTTATGATTCTTCAGAAAATTTTCACAACTGACCTCAATTGATAAGGAATTGGCAGATTCACTATTCACCCCCATCACAGAAAAAAATATACAAATCAAGCCATGATTTTTGCATCATGACAACTTAAATGTGATCATTGCTGGATGAATTCAAATAGTTCAAAATGGAAAACATTAAGCTATTCTTGAATCAGATTCTATAAATTTCCATCCTTAATAATAATAAAAAGATTGTTTCTTAGCATTTATAAATTTAGATAATATTCTGTAAAAAATAATGTTAGATTTTATTGTTAAAAAAAGTTAAAAAATGATTGATAAAAATTTTGTTTCTAATTATTTGTTAATAAAATATTTTTAATGCTAGAAAATATTTTATTAATTTTATTATTAAAATAATTCTATCAAGATATATATTATTTTAAATATATCGATCTATTTGATATTTAAAATTTTATATTGGATTAATCACTTCCTTTTCGTAATTTAAATAATTATTATGAGCATTTATTATACAGCCAATGATACATTTACTAAAAATACAAAATTATACCGGCAACATTTTTTATTTAATGATGACCATGGCCATGACCACCGACATTATTTGAAGATGGTTCATTTTCTTTTGAATTAGGTTTATCATCTTTTTTATCTCCACTTGAACCTTCATTTTCTCCAATAACTTTACCTTCCGATTCATCTCTTAATTGTTTCTGCCACATCTCAAAGTATACCCCTATAGAATATGTTTATGAATTTTTTCGTTTATTTTTTTTTTTTTTTAAAAAAAAAAAGAAAAATTTAAAAATCTTTATAAACTTCTTACCTTCTTCGTTCCGGATAAGTTCATCATGAGTTCCCTAATTTTATTAAAAAAATTTATAAGTACATAAATAATGAATTGATTAATGAATTTTCATTTCTTTTTTACCTGTTCAACAACTTTTCCATCCTTGATGCTAATAATTTACGAAAATATTATAATGAAAAATTTTAATTCCAAATTCTAATCTTCGCAAAACTTATAATCAAATAGCTTACCAAAGAATCAAATCAGCATTAATAATGGTACTCAGCCGATGTGCAATAACTAACGTTGTACGATCTTTTGTCATATTTGAAAGAGCATATTGAATTTGTCTTTCTGTAGTAGTATCAAGGGCAGATGTGGCTTCATCGAGAAGAATAATCTAATAAATTTAGAAATTTTAGTTTACGAGTATTGTATAATTTAAAGCTATTATGATGTAATACGTACTGGTGGATCCTAATATATTTTTTTAAAAAAAAAGTTAGAAAAAGTTTACGTGGAAGTTTATAAAATAATTCTTTGCATAAGAATATAAAATCAAAATCACCTTCAACATTGTCCTAGCAATAGCAACTCTCTGTTTTTCCCCGCCACTTAAACGCAACCCTCGCTCTCCCACGCGTGTTTCATAGCCTATCATAATAAAAATCAGAGTTAATTTTTAATTTTTAATTTAAACATATAATGAATATCATAATTATACAAACCATCTGGAAAATTTATAATACGATCATGAATTTGAGCAGCTTTTGCAGCTTTATAAACTTCTTCATCACTTGCGTTAACATTTCCGTAATGAATATTATAGTAAATCGTTTCATTAAATAAAACAGTATCTTGTGGTACAACTCCAATGCTTCTTCGTAAACTTTCTTGTTTGACAAGACGAATATCTTGTCCGTCTATTAATATCTTTCCTGAACCAACATCATAAAATCGGAAAAGGAGTCGAAGAATTGTTGATTTTCTACAAAATTTGTAAATAAGTAACAATAATAATAAATAAAAAAAAAAAGACATTGTTTATAAAATTGCGGTCATGTTTATTATACTTACCCGCCACCACTAGGACCTACTAAAGCGACCGTTTTTCCTTTTGGAATTTCAAATGAAATATCCTTAAGAGCTGAATTTCTTGGATCGTACGAAAAATCAACATTATCTGTATTTATAAAAACAAAAAATGTCAATATGCTACAAATTAAGAATTTATAGAAAAGAACATTTTTAATTTAAAATAAAGATTACCGAAAATAACCGATCCCTCGGTAACTTTTAAGTCTTTAGCTCCGGGTATATCTTGAACGCTTTGTTGTTCTTTAAACAATGAAAGCATTTTTTCCATATCAATGAAATTTTGTTGGATCATACGATAATATGTACCAAACCAATTAAGCTACAAATTCCAAATAACCACATAAAATTAATATATAAAATATATTTTTAAAATAAGAAAGGAAAATTCATTATAATAACTTAAGTCAAATAGTAACCCACCGGTCCGTATAATTGATTGATATAAGTGATAAAGAGAATAAAATCACCAACTCCAAAATCACCAATAGTTACTTTCCAAGCACATAATAAACAACCTGCCAACAATCCTACAGTAATAACCAAATTCTGACTAAGATTAAGCATGTTAAGCGATGCTGATACTTTATAATCAGCAATCTGGTACTTGACAATAGCATCATCGTATCGTTTGACTTCAAATTGTTCGGCATTATAATATTTGACGGTCTCAAAATTCAAAAGTGAATCCACTAATACAAATGGAATAAGCTAATAAATATATTATCTTCAATAATTGTTTAAAACAATTAAATTATCACAAACCAGCTTTAGATCGTGCATCATTATCTGTCTCAATCATATCACGTCTGAATTGTGTTCTCCATTCCGTAATCCAAATTGTGACAAGAATATAACTTGCCATCGTGCCAAATACAATGACACCGAAGATCCAACCAAATTCAACAACAAAATATATGACAGCTACGGAAATGTCAACAATAACTGGAAAGATCTGAAATAATATTTGATTAAGTAGCGAAATGATACTATTCGTTCCTCGATCCATAACACGTAAAACTTCGCCTGTTTTACGATTTATATGATAAGCCAATGAAAGCCTAAATAAATTTGCGCGTGAGTATAAAAATCCTTACAATCATGTTTAATTATAAATTGCTTACCCATGTAAATGTTCAAACATTTTGACTGAAATTTCACGAGTTGTATACTAAAATTTTTATATTCAATTTCATTTTAGTAAGTTATTTAAATATAACGATTACGAATAAATAATTTTTTTTTTACCTGGCCGATGGGAATCCATAAATAATTTTGTGATGCTTGAATTAAACCTACACCACCTTGCAAAAACCTAAGGAATACAAAGAACGCAATAGATTTCCATACAAATCTTGCTAATTATAAATTCGTTCTTGTGTAAGTTTATTTTATTTGGTAATACACTAGATCATTAAAATATAACTTACGTGGGTTACCATCTTCACCAACCAATTCATTTGTAATTATCTTTAATTGTTGTGGAACCAACACATTTACAATCCGTGCAGCAATT